ATGTTCCTCCAATTTAAACTCGAACCTATTACCCACTACCTCAAAAACCAAAGCGTTATTCAGTCTCACTGAGAACAACATCCCAAACGGGTGCAGGTGCATCAAACTGACGAGTTCCAAGCAAGACGAAACGCGCATCCTGGGTTCTTCTGCTAGTCATCAATTAAATTATAGCTACACTACTGACAGATCATAAGTAGTAAACCTAGATGAGTGGCAAAAGTGAAAGTTATACATCGGTAATTATTATACACAAATGAAATTTGACTATTTAGCTGACTTTCCTCTTGTTCCAGCATCTAAACTTTCCCGCTTTTTAATCACAATGACCATGTTTATTAGGTAATATCCCCTCAGTCACTCAGTCAGTAGTTTGATCTTCACTATGCATTTTGTTAGGCTCAGGTTCCAGTTATAAAAATTAAATTGTGAAAATTCTCATCTGAATGCATACAATAACTGAGGATATATGATAAAATCGTTCTATATCTGGATTACTTGTCGTTAACCAACGAAACTATAGGCTGAGTTTGGGCTTACATATCTTATGAAACAGATAGGGAGTTAAAAGCCTCAGGATAAAGACAGTATGCAATCTGAAGTAATGCCTACTGACAGAAGAGGAGAAGAAGGAGTAAAGGCGTTACATGTAGGGTCAGTTCGTGCGTGTACTTTCACTGGAATCTAACTACGTGCAGAACGAGTATGTCTGTAGACCGACTTTATGGCGTAAATTGTCTTTTATGACTGAAGTTAGGATGAAACCTAAGAGTCAGTTGCCTTTCCAGTCGCTTCTCCATTCAATATTTCACTTAACAGTCATTCCAAATACGTGCAACTGATGAAACACCATTGAATGTGTGGTGCAGTAAAAATGAGCTATCTGCTAGTGCTACCACTTTTCAAAAAGCTATGAAAATACTTACCACTGATACTAAATGGTTAAAGTAATCATCAGGAAGCTTAGGATACAATTTTCGTGCTTCCAAGTGGTACAAACATGGGTTACTTAGCTTGGTGACCACAGTTCGAAATGACGGATAGAATTTGATCAGCACTTGGAACCAAATGGGATAAAATTCATTACTATGCAAGCTCTATCATCAGGTCCTATTGGATATCAGTCACGTTTCGAGTAAATAACTGATAACATACCTAACTGCAACAGTGCATGATGGGGGGAACACCGATCTCCTCAAGGTTGTAGATACGCCTTGCTGATGAGAACCAATAAGTGTGAAGTTTATGTTCAAAGCTTTTTGTTGATTGCCTTGAACCATTTCACATCAATCAGAGAGCAATGTGATGAGCGTCCTCACTTGGTGATCACGACGCTAAAGAAGGAAGAGAGCGGTGGATAGGCTTACTAACCGATGGTCGTTCAGTGCATTGCTATAAAGGTTCAGCTACTGTTACCACTTTCTGCTGATGATTCCCGAACGCTTTTCAATGTAGATATAGTGTTTAAATGGAAATAAGATTTCAAGTCTTTCAAACTTTTTTTCCTTTTCTCACTTTAGTTCTTCTAATTTGAAAAAAGTGATAAAATTATTGACTTACACAAGATCTTAACTGATTTGTGATGCGGTATTTCACAGTAAAGAAAGTTTATCACGTAAATATTATATTAGTTGGTAGGTAGGGAAACATATTGACTAATAATATACATTGGATGATTAGTAATGAATGCGATTTTGCAGGCTCAAAATGCGTAAATGTATTGTGAATTATTTCATTAAGTTTATCTACAAGAATCTTAGTGATGTGATGCGTAATATATTGTCACCTCCTATTGATATCCACGTTAGCTTATTCACCCTATGGTGATCACAATTATGAAGGGCAGTAAGAATTCAGTGCATCCGCAGTATCCAAATTCATTTTACTCCTCAAGTAGTACCATTAATTTTGATATTGCACCTAGAATTCTTGGGCTGTGCTGCAGACTAGTAAACGGATTGCATAATTATAGCCAAACATTCTGTATGCACGGTAAAAATCTACAGAATAATCATTTGCATTGGAAGACGGATCATTTCTAGGGAGTTGGTAATTTACAAAATCTCTGTATGAGTGCAAAAGGTTTACTTACCCTTGTTAGTCTACAACAGTTATAGTACCGGCATGATATACGACCGGGTATTAAGGGTGTACAGTACTACCTACTCTACAGTTAGCCTTTTTCTACTTTATAAGGGGGAAAAATTGCCATAAAAAGTAGAGACAATGAGAACACTTGAGGCATTCAACCACTATCGTCCTCGTACCCTTATGTCGTAATGTCATGTCAGTAGCGTAGAATACTAAGCGGAAGAGGTAAGTAAGGTCGTGAAAACTCATCAGCATAGATGACTAGGTCATGAGTTTCCCATGCCTAGTCACCGTCTTCCTGGTTGCAGAATGTCAGCTGAAGTAAGTATATACTGCGAAAACGTTGAAAGTGATCACAATTGGACATGGTATGAGTCCATGAAGTCTCTAACTGTTGGTTTAATACGTTTAGCAAAGTGTAGACGTTTTGGTCAGGATCGTATTGCCAACGGAGATTGGTGGTTGGAGATTGTATGTAATAAGTCTGGAAGTCAATATCAAGGGCTAATATGCATTTGTACATATTGTTCATCATAATGATCATACTGGATTTTAATATTGTTTCATTCTTTCTTGCTCTTTATTCGTGACTTCCTAACACTTTAGCTACTTTCTTTCTTGTTTCTCTACCCTTCATCTTGGTACGTTATACGGTGATATGCTGATAACTGGGTGTGGCAACTTTAACTGTTACTTAATAATAGAAAGTCATAAATCGGTTGCGACTTCCAGACTGATGAATAATTCACGCAGTTCATCAACTGGACTGTAAAAAATGTAGTATAAACTGATAAACCTGTGAATCAGTTAGAAGAAATATGTCGTTAAAGGGGGTCGGGCTCAGGTGAGAAAGGGAAAAAAGTTTAGTAAACAATTGGCTTTATGCATTCGTGTCTATCATCTTCACCAAAGTGTCATTTTATTCGTTTTATAATTAGGTTCGAAATATTCACTGATGGTGGCTATGCTAAAAGTAGAATCAAAAAGTGAAGTTTGATTGCTAGTGTATATACCAGCCTAGGTTTTTAGTGGGATTCACAAAAATTGTAGGTCATTGCCTCAAGCTTTCGATAAAATTACTAAAATTATTTAAGGCATGAGTAGTTTTCAAAAAACAAATCCTAAGGAACAGATGGGGCCGTTCGCAGTCTTAGAAATTGACTAAGAGTTATATTTGTTGTTCAACCGTTGCAAGTTATCATTGAACCCAGTTATAAGTTTATTCGAATTACAGCTTGTTAATCATTTAGAGTGTGGATTTATGGTCGTTTGGAGATCGATTTGTGATACGTTTATAGACCATGTTGGATGACATATTTTATGCTTGCTGTTTTTCGCTGTTGATATATTCATGCTGCAGAAGCTGTTAACAATCATTTTTGATGAATTTCAAAAAATTACACTATATTCATTAGTTTGCCTTCAATGGTTGTTGGTTCGATTCACAAATTCTTGTTTCTGAAGTTTTACAAAACACGTCAGTTACATTTCTAGTATTTGTAATAGGTTTATCTGTTTTACTATAATGTATCAGGAAACCATACTCTTCAGTAAAAATAGGGCAAAGGCTGAATAATCCTGTCAGAAATGTATATGACTGTACCTATTCCGTATCATGAGTGAACGAAATACGTATCACGAAGAGAAAGTATACCATACCCATAGAATACTAGCAACAATGATCGTTGGTTTGGGCTATGGATGACTATGAAGGTTAGCCTGTCAGAGACTTTGAAACGACGAGAAGCGATGATTGGAGACCCTGACAAATATGACTGAAAGCAGACAACACAGACTCAGTGTCAACTTTATTTCTTCAGTAACTTTTATGAATATTGATGCAGCTATAATGAATTCATTGTCCCATTTCTAATTAACTGCCATTCAGATATGGAGAACTGAAATGTAGTTGACTGAGCTAGTAAGCAGTTACATCAGGTCTAGTGTTGCTTAAGTTTGTAACTGCATCATAACTAGATTTCCCAACTGCCTAATATTCATTAGGCATAATGTCGTCTATTTGTTATAATATGGGAACACCATGGTATAAGGTTTCTTGCTTCACTTGTGTATGTCTGCTAGCCTACTTCGGATTATCTTAAGTCACCCGTTACTACGTTGCCAGTTATGTGTATATTATGGAAGATTGCTCTTGACTTCACGTATACTATTTCGCATAGTATTTAAACAATAGTATTTCTTACAGATTTCATCTTTATGCTATCAATCTCTGTCAGATTCGGTTTCAGTCTCCGTTCTACATTTTTCAGTGATTCATGGAAATGTTTTTAAAACTTCATTCTTTATGTTTCAGACAACTGACTATTGCTCATATTCAGCATTTCATAGTAATAATGCTGCTTAAAATATTATTGTTAGCTCAATGGAACGAGGGATTCATGTACCGAACTTGCTCAATATTTTGCTATGAATTCGGTAGAGTGCATATACATGAAGTATAATTTTTATCAGTTAATCAGCTACACCAACTCAGCTGAAAATAAGTCGTTTATAGTAAGCCAACGACGATGAAGAATAACAGTCAAAAGTTACACAGAGTTTTTATGTAAGCGACAGGAGTTGTGACTGAGATAATTTTGAGTAATCCAATTAATTATCACTTGGTTTTATTACTTCAATAAAAGCTCCCATAACTTAGAAATATATTTCCTTGGAGGTATGTATTGGATGTTTCAGCAATAGGAATTAACATACACTTCATTCTTTCCTAAAGAAAATTGAAGCCAATTTCAATTAGGGAACTCACAAAAGCGCCTATTTTGATTGGACAAAGACGTCCATACTGAAATTTCATTATTATCTATTTAACCAATTACACATTTATTAATAAATCAGTAGTTTTTCAGTCATTTTGAAGCTGTGTAAGTGTAGTATATATATGTAGATAAATTTCAAGTTCACTAGAATTTATAGCAAAAGCAAATAACGTTGCTAGACAGTTGCATAATTGAAGAATGACTATAGTTAATCCAGACATTAAAAACAATCACTTACGTGAACTTGATGAAGATGTTCTATATCATATAGGCATTTCAACAAAATCATTCGACTTCAAACAAAAATTTGGTGATGTTAAGGTAACCACAGTCATTTTAATATACTGTTATCCTGTAAATTATGTCAACTGGTAAAACAAATGATTTCTTGTTTTCAATAAAATAAGTGTTATGCATAGTCTTTCACAAGTGATGATAACAATTTGAATTCAATTAGATTAAAAAAAGTGGCCTGAGGTTTCTTCAACATACATTTTTATAAATTTTTAACTGATCTTAGAATGCTTCAGTTTTACTGTCCCTTTACACTGACTAGTATAAATCCATCAGTGAAAAGTTTATGCATTGTGTAAAAGATTAATGTATTATAAACAAATTTTTAATGCAAAGTTTACACATTATGTGAAGTTTTTATTTTGGTAATATTTTCAGCAAAATTACTGCCCGTGATCACACCAACAGTTGGAATATTTTAGCACTATTTTTTTACCAATAAATCCCTTCATAGTCACCATATTTAACCAAGTGACTAAAGAACTTTGAAAACTGAAATAAAAGGATTTAGTGTCACTATAAATCCATGTTATATGCTTTTACTACTGTTACAGGCATGAAGTACAGAACATAATCAGAAATTTCATAGTCCCAAAAATTAAAATCTTTTTTATTCTTTTTGCTCCAGTGGTTGTCAATCAAAGTAGTCGGGAACCTTCTAAACTTCTGTGTAGTAGGCAGTGAGCCACATTTAGTGTGCGATAGTTGATGCTACTATCTGGCTGTCTACACTTCGGTAGGTGGAACGGGATTTGAACTCATGGTCCACTGATTAATAGTCACGTCCCTAAACCAACTTCACGCTGTCAATCACCTAGTGCTCACCAAGTTTCTGCTTGTTTTAATGACAATAATTGAACTAAGGAGCTCAATTATTTTCTTCTTTTGGTCTGTGAACAGTTATAAAAACCAACATTGACACTGTTCCATACATGTTAAATTTCCACTACAACGAAAAACATTTAAGATGTTACTGCGAGTTAGTGTGGAATAAATGACTAAGAATGATAGACTTAAGCAAAATAAGGAGTCTAAGGAAAGCTAAACTGTTCCTTATCTATACAGTAACGCATAATCAGGTGAACCTAGAATATTTGCTCCATATACCTGGAATATCCTGCAAATATAAACATAGAAGAAGGCAGACGTGAAGCTGTCTCGAAGTTATGAAGTTACCTGGAAGTAGTTGTAGAGAATAAACCGTCAGAAACATCATCCAGTAAGTAATGGTGTTTCACTATGTGATGTTCTTAAAAGATAGGCCAAGGTAGATAAAGTTTGTTTAAGCATTTGATAGTGGATGGATATAACCTTTATTGGCATTGAACCCTCAGGAATATTCACGTTTGTATTGTTTCTACCATAGAACGTTTTCTCTCTCTATACTGTGTTCACTAATTACCCCTTTCTATTTTTTCATTATTTTTGACCATTGTAATCAGCCGTACTTACTTCAGCAGTCTAATAGTACCTTTGTTAGAGAAATGTTCAGCTCAGTCAATATATTTCCAACTATCTGTTCTCTAGGCTTCTCTTAAACTGGGGTTCAAAGAGAATGTTTCGATGGAGTTAATTGTAGGCACTGTAATACACTATAATTCCATATTAGGTAAATTTGTTTGATATGCCATACAGGGATATCCTGTTATTCATTAGATGGTGTTATAATCATCACATTTGCTCATAATCACATCGACACTGATCAAACAACTTTAGAACTCCATTTTTACGGTAGAACAACTCTTCATTCTCTTATTTTTATTGGTAGTAGAATCTTAGAAATGTCTACAATAAGTGATGAATTATTCCAGTTACATGTGTCAGATGTTGACTCCATGACCAAAGGTTCTGTAACCAACCTATCTCCCTTCTTAACCACACTGAATTTTAGATTTGTCATCCTATCCTACCCTATAGCGTGACTATGAGTTGGTACATGCCAAGTGATAGCAGGGCTTTCCTCTATGTTACTTATCTAATTGGGTGTATTATTCTATACTTCGCCAAACTCCTGAACTCTACTGTCTTGACTGAAACTCAATCATATATTTTGACCTATTTATTTAACCTGACAGTCATTACATGGTATTTGCTCAGTTGGATATAATGGATCTGTCAGCCTACAAAGCTTTTCCTTGAATGACTTTAAAAAGTTTAAAAACCACTATAATTCTAGCACCATGAAGTTGGTTTAGAATTCCTGATATCTTTTCTTTAAATGGCAACACTACAAAAAATTAGAATTCTCTTCTAAGTATGCTTGAGTTACCATCAATATTGATATTTCCTTTTCTTTCACAACTTTTTATAAGCGTTTTAAACAAACTCCTAAAGAAATTTGTTATTTCTTATTAATTTATTTTCTTTCCTAAATAGTTCGTTTGTACCTGTGGCAGTCAAGGCAGAATTAGTCACTTTGCAGAATTAATGGCTGAAGCAGCTGGGATAAAAACACCTTGAAGAATTTGGCGGGTTCAAATGCAAGATTTGTACTTTTTAAAGTGGATCACACCTTGTTCATCGATGTAAGTTGTCTGTATACGAGTGTGTGACTAAAATCTTAAAGTATTGATAATTTCGTCGCAGTTGGACACTTTCAGTATTAGTTTTATATATGTGCCACTCGATATCTCCAGTTATAAACGTCTTTTTGGACACACTTTAGACTCAACACCTATAAAGTGACTTGAAGGTGATATTTGATAGTACAATGATTCTAAGGTAGTATTCATCCGGACTGATATCAGTATGAGAACCACTGAAGACCTGCTGTTTCATCCTAGCATGGGACTTGTCAGCAGTACGCATCCACGAACCCAGAAACTTCAGGTTTCATGCTATTCAGCTACTAGGTCAGAGTTCAATGGTTCACAGTTTACAACTTGTGTCATTTCGCGATATAGCGTGACTAGCACAGAAGGTCTTCTCTTGGCATCTGCTTCTCTTCCGACTGGTGGTAGTTGTGCTATATCACGAATCAACACAAGTTGCAAACTGTGAACCACTGAACTCTGACCCAGTGGCTGAATGTTTAACGCGTTCACTATGAGACCTTAAGGTCCTAGGTTCGATGCCTATCCAGGTGGTAGGTGATTACTGCTGAGAGTTCCATGTTAGGACGAAACAGTTGTTCAGCGGTCTGAGGTTTTCAACGGTTCCCCAACTAATGCCAGTCCGTGATGAATACTATCTCAAAATTTAAATTCTTATTCACCTTGAAATACAATACAATGATTGTTAGAAAATGTCAATGAAATGAATCCCATCATTGGTCATACTGTTAAGAAAAATCTTCATGTTTTAGCTATACGAATTCTGCCTGAGAAAAGAATTTGGTGTTTACAAGATTGCTAAAGTCATTTAACAGTAAACGTTGTATGAATGGAACGTTTTAGTTAACAATGATCAAGGTGTTTGAACATCTTTGGTTTTCTTACTCGAAGATTTTCATCCATGCCAGGAAGTGCCAAATTCAAGCATTTTCCTAATTCTGGCTCATATAAGTATTGCAGTAATATAAATTCAGTAAATCTAACAAAAATGTTTTAAATACACTAAACAAATGAAATTAATGATTACATAAATATTCCTATGAATAAATATTTTAAGAGAGAACGAGTCAGTTAAATGTTATTTATTTATCTGTACGATAACAAACTAAGAAATGTACTACGCTAATTAGATAAAATGCGTGAAGATAACGCAGAACAAAAGTCAGATATTATAACAATAAAAATAATGATGTTAGTGGAAACGATATCACTGATATTACTAATGGTTGAATTCGAATATGAAGAAATTTGCAACCGAATACATTGTTGCTTCAATCCAATGATTTTAAAGTTAATAGAGAACCATGGAATATTGAAAAGCATTAAATATTTGCTTTTTATGTATATTTGGATTGTTTAGTGGTGCTTACTGATAACCTAATATATAATGTATTGAAAAGTGGTCATATTTCTTTCAGAGCACATCACTTGTCAATTGCAGGAGCAGTATTCAATAAGTCACGTTTTGAAAAACCTGTCGTTATGCTATGTAATCGTCTGTTCAGTTCTTCATTTTATCTAGACAGTTCCATCATCAAAAAAGTGGTCATTGTAACAGCAATGTGAAGACCTGCTTCAGCTGCCAAAACTGGTTTCGGAGAGAATAATCTGATTAAATTACAAGGAATCTCCACTATATCTTAATTATAGAAATCCAGAATTTCTTATACTGTGATATTATCAACAGAGGTTGTACCACTTTGAAAACTTTAAGCAAACGCAGACAAGCTGAGCTTTTTGATCTACTCTCTGTTGGATCTAACAAATAAACAGAAAAAGCACTTTCCCCGTAAGAAATGCGCTTGATCATGTACAAAGGGTTGAACCCCGTAAAAAACCTTTGGAAATGAGTTCACTTGTCATCTGCAGCAGTGGACTTAGACTGACTTTTGTTGCACGACTTTACCTGTGCTCACGCAGACAGACAGACAAAACTGCCAAGAACAAAGCAGAACCTTATAACTAAGTATATGGATTCAATCTGCTACACTAGACGTTGTCATGCAAAGAACGAGTGGCTAGAGAACGAGTGATATCAAAGTAAACCAAAGTGTTTGGGAAGAGTAGAAATTTGGGAGATCAAGGTTAGTGGAAATGGGCAAACTTTAGAAGATATCAAAGATTGAATACACCTGCAGTACTGACTGATTTTCAGCCATTTCACCAAGGACCACCAACTATTGTTTGCTATCACATAGGTAATCTCAGTTAGGAAGTCTACATAACGCCATGCAAGCTGAAGTTTCAGTAGCAACTAACCTTTTCGGTCTGATGATACGTCTGTCAAGTAGGTAAAGCGGTCACTGCATCACACGAATTCACTCTCTATTCTTCAAATGGGAGTGTCTGGAAGTAGAATTTATGCAAACTGACAAGTTTTTGAATTCCTGAAACTATTTATCAACAAGGCAGCTTGCAGACTCAATATTCTGTCAGTATTTCGAAGCCATCGTAAAAGGGTCATACCTGAAAAGTTAAAGATACCAACAGTGTTGTGAATAACATAACAACTGTTGTACTGTAAAATGTGTGATTGTTCTGGAGTAGGTGAGAAAGAAGGGAATGGCTGTCGATACATGCATAACTTACATGAAGCTCAGTCTGATCTTTCTGTGTTGTCTCATGTGTGGAACTAGTTCGGAAAGTTTTTATATATATTTCATTACATTTTTCCCAGCGGTGGATGTGGTAACTACTTCATTTCATAGCAATAAAACTTTCAGATCATCATGATTCTTAGGATAATTCAGTTATTTGCCTAACTAGAACGTTTGCCGCGACCCTTTAATGGAGCTAGAAATAACTGATATACTAGTTTACTGGAGAATAGCGGCTAAAGGCCATGGAATCAGGTTTCATGCTTGTTAGGATTCTTCACTCAGCATTTTATGCAACTTTTAAGAAAGCGATATCCCTTCTGTGACTCGAACCCACTTCAGCAATTGCAATAGTCAAAGATTTCGCCGCTCAATTCTTTCAGCCGCCACCTTGGTCATTTGATTCCTCAGCGCATGGAGTTGTTTCTGCTTCTCCGAATCTTTAAGTTTGTCAATGTTAACCAATCACTGACAGTATAATTTTACGACTGATAATATTAGAGTAGGTGACTATCAGTCATGTGTTTGTGAGCATTGTATCGGGTGATTTTTGAAACCATGATTACTTCTTACTGGCATAACATGCATCTTGCTGATAATTGGATTGAAATCAGGATTATGACTGTACGTGACTGGGATAAACTGAAAATATTTGTTACAAACGACAGTTACTTATGCGCTGGTTACCTGTTGTGATTACTTGGCTTGGTGGTTCATATGTGTGCTGTGTGAAATCATTCATATTAGTGACTGAAGGACACTACTGAACCTGCAAGTTAACAGAATTGACTGATGAGAGTCAAGAAGTTTTAGGAAACTCATAAAAATCCTTATTTTTCGCAATGGAAACTTTTCAGAACGTTTCAAAGTATTTTAATTGAACTATAGCATTAAGCTACTCCGTTTCCGCACCGAATTGCCAACGCAGAGATGACTCCAAATGCCACTCAAACGAATATTGTACTGACGAGTTACTGAATTTTACGCAAAGTCACATTTCCTGGTAAGACAATAAGATCAGTCGGTTATTCCAGTGGGTACCAGGTGGGCCTTTAGAGTCACAACATTCGTTTAATCGCTTAGGTTATTGTTAATGTGACGTCTTTTCTCATTTGTTTGTTGTTTAGCATGGAATGGGTGTACCGTCAACATTAATTGCGTTACATGAAGTCACGAAACTGTTACAATATGCTGGATGTAAAGATGTACTGTTTATACGTGTAGGAACGTCAGGTGGTGTAGGTAAGATTATTATCAATCAGATTTCTTATTGTTCATTATTTGATTTGAAAGCAGTCATGCGTATATAAGGGTCTGTGTTAAATATTTTTTTACTGGGTGATGATTGAAGGTGAATGGAAAATTTAGACCGTGGTTCGATTCAAACCAACGACCATCAGGTTTTCCGCCCCGATGCTGTAGCAACTGATCTACAGATTTTTATCTCATTTTAATCATGATTTTTTTCCCCGACTACCACGTGAATTCGTGACATATTACTATCACTTGATCGTACTCATTCTGACTGCCAAGTTAGGAGTTATCACCAAATCTAACTGAATTAGAGAGTGGGAGTGTCAAATGGAATGAAATACACATCTTAGAAATCATGGATAATCAATAACAAATGAACAACCTACTGATAAAGTAGACGGCATTTTTAATGCTTATGTATAAGGAACCCGTTAGCCAGCAGATAGTAATCGGTTCAACTAAATGAAATAAGTATTGGAAAGTTATGAAATTAGGGTTAGTTATGCTTCATCGAATGAACCTTGAACAAGTAAAAAGTGATGTCAATGAGGAAGTGGATTTTAAAATCTTTAAATTACACTGTAATGTCTTCGCTATTGTTTTTCTACTTTCATATCCAGTTTAGAGGTGTAATTGTGTAGCATTTTGACATGAAAAATAAACTTTATCACTTTTTCATAAAATAAGAAATCTGAATTACTCTGTGCCTTTTTACTCTTTTGTTTGCGATAATTATGATTATCTATCTGCAAATCAGCGTAAAGAAATCTTTACAAGTTCAAAATTTTCTGATGTTTTTAACTGTTCAGATATTTGGAATTTTTAATGGACGTTAGAGATATATTAGGCTATGCACCTTCTGGCAGTGTAAAGACCAGCTACTTAAATATATGATCGTCACTATTATTGTTAAGTAAAAGGTGGCATTGTTGAGTGCGTTCTCAAAATCTACTTGAAACATTTTGAGTTTGTTTTTTCAGACTGTTACCTTTATTCTTTATGATTATGAGCGCATGACACTTGAGCTTAGAGAATTCTAGATGAATGCAATCTTTATGCACAAACCAAATGAAGGACTTCAGAAGTTGTGCATGAAAGCCTCAGCAATAATGGGATCTGGGAATAATTCGTTCCGTAAGATTCTTTCACTGACTTCAGGGTCAAATACATCAGTTATAGTGGTCAACTGGTACCAATAGGGTGATCGGAATCTAGCTGTGGAACCTAAAGGCCCCACGTTCGATCATGGGTGCGCACTGATGAGTAGTCCCATACTAGGACGAAACAGCTTTCTAGGTCTCCCTGGTTTCTAATGTTCCTCCAACTGATTATGAATATCAACCTGATAGTCATTAGTTAGGTTAGAAATCTAAAGAAAAGACTGATCATGAATATACTTGCAATCGAACAATAGGGTGGGAAAAACTGCCAACCCATGGAAGTATTTTGTCCAAGTAGAGTAAGAGATTGGTAACTGACTCAAAATCAAATCTTTTTAACCTGAATGCTTTGGCAGAACTGATGTGCATTTTAGAACTAATAAACCAAGACCAGAAAAAAATGTTATGAATAAACACCATATATAAACTACATATTAGTGTTGTTGATCCATCTTCATACTACTGTTAATAATGGATTGTATCCTAACCATTTTTCAACAAGTAATACTATGATGTAGGATGCATCTTGTAAATTATATCCTACAATAAGGTCCAAGCTTTACTTGTATACGTCTATACCTCCCATCAGTATGTCTTACCTGGATGTGAAGTTAGTTTTTATGAACCCTAACTTTTGTTTTTGTCAGAACACAACTTTATTATTCGAAATATTGTCTGTGACCCTATCGAAACATCGAATAGTTGGTAATCACTTAGCTTGATGTTATCTAACTTTTATTATTTGATTGTGCATACTTCACTGATTGGCTTGATGATCCCATCGATACCGGCTTCTTTGTAATTTCTGGTAAAATTGGTTAATCATTTGATAAAAGCATTTGTTGTGTAATACCTCTTGTTGGTGGATATATTTCAAGTAAATCCACTATTTATTTTGATATTTGTATTAGGAGTGAAGCCTGGAACACTCGTAATATCTGACAGTTGTGTGAATACTCAATTTGAGCCATTCCTTGGATTGGTATGATTTGTTCGTAACTTCTGGTATTTGATTGGTCCTTATGAGTTTATAAATAATATTCATCTAAATACGTACATCTAATCAGTGTTACTCGATGAAAAAATATGAAGGAAAACTTGGGTTGCGTGAGGATTTGAACAACAGATTTACAAGTTTCTAGCTTATTTATTTAAATTGTCAGGACAGCAGATGGATCAGTTTCCTGAAGGTGGTGACATTCTCGGTCTTTACTGCCGCTCAAGACTGAACAGTTATGAAAATAAAGAAATACTAGTCACTGAATAGCTTGTTTGGTCTTTTATGCAAGAATAAGCAAGACAAGTGAAAGTGAAGACTGGTGAAGTATAAAGTTGAACTTAACCCCGCTAATGAGCCCTAATTTAAGTTTTTCTAACCATTTGCACAGGATTCTTAATCGTATAACATGAAATAGGTTTTTAATAATAACAGTATAGAAAGTTTGGCAGGCTTCAGGCTTGTCTGAGTAATCATTTAAGAGGAGACATCATCCACTTCCGTCTCTAAATGACCATCCATTTTTGTTTACCATAAAGTTCTTTATTGTGTAACCAACCGAGTTTGTATTACCTCACTCGTGTTTTGCCTAAACATGTACTGGAAATTTCATTCTGTTGTAATGCAACTAGTCAGTTTGTAATTGTTAAGAGTGAAACTCGGGCTCTATATGCTGCTCATAAATGAATTTCTTATCAGTTTACTAAGTATTCATTACATAGAATTAACAAAAGAAAATTCATCGAAGAAATTTTATTCCCAGGAAGTCATTTTCGTAAGCTGTACAATCGTAATCATAGTTACAACAAAATATATATCTCAAGTTGTTAAACATCGTAGACTGACAGTTCGAGGAACAAACGGAAACCTTGGAGCACTGGACAGCTTTTTCGTCCTAGTATGGGGTTCCTCAGCAGTGCGCACCCACGACCCCGTGAGGGATAGAACACGCAACCTTAGGGTTCCGAGGCCAGCACGTCACCATTGAACCACTAGGTCAGAATCCAACAATCCACATTTCCTACTTCTGTTAGCTCACGATATAGCGCAACCGCCACCCAATATCATCGTTGAGTAACTGTCCTTACGACTATCAGGCTTTGCCCCAACCGGTCACGACTTCTCAACGGAACTTCGGAAATACCTTTCGAAGCTAATCACCAATGAGCTCATAAAGCGATAACCGTTAGAAGGCCAAATCCAGGTCATCAAAAAATTACATATAGGATTACAATGAATAAACAAATAATGAGTGAAGAAACGAATAAAATGTCTTAGGGATATTACGACGAAGGTAAAAACTAGAAATGGAATGTAGCTCTTATGAACGCAAGAACGATGTTTCAGCCGCTGAATGGCCAGAGCTTCTACTAATTCAGGTGGTGAATATGCACTCCCTTCAAAATGTTCGGTTTCACTTCTTTAATGAATTTCAAAGAAGATTCTCTTGGAAAAAAGTGTATAGAGTTAACCAAATGCTTAGGAACCGAGATTTTGATTGTTTTGCATGCTCCTCTGGATAGCCATTCAGGATATTGTTCGGAGATACGTTTGGACAGAACTCAATTTGTACGGCCTATGTAATCAGCTCCTTAAGAGCAGGTAAACTGATAAACACACTTATCAGCGATTCAAACCAGTAGTTTATATTCTACACACTCGAGTCAGCTGAGGATAATAATCTAAAGTTGGGTGCAAAAGAAGTTCTTCACTGGGGATTTACACAGTGGACTCCTGAGTATCTCTGTCGCTGCATTTCCCTTAAATCCAATATTTATAAGCATTATCTACTTTGGAACCATAAAGTTACTTCTTGATAATGTTTGAACTTGATATTTCTTCAAGTCAATTTTAAAGGATAACCATTTTCCATGAGCACCATGTTGCTCTTTCCTGGTTTGAGTGACTTGTAACATTCCATGAACCTTCTCAGTAAGTCATCGAGCTTACTTGTGTTCTTGCAGACGATAAAAGTGTCATCCATGTATCTCTAATGTATATGGGACTTGTCAGCTAATGGACGTGGTTTACTGTTCTCCAGACGAGCTATGAGTCAATCACCTAAGAGAGGACTCAATGATGAACTCATTACCACTGCCTCTTTTCATCGATGAAGTTCATTATTGAATCGAAATTGCATATTGAAGGTAGATCCTCCAAAAAATGCTTAGGAATCTCACTTTAAAGCTTATAAAGCTTATAAATAATAACACATAAAGTAGATTGTTTCTGCCAGAGAAACATTTTAAAGTCTTTAGGACATCCAGAGTTATATATCACGTATTTACTGTTGTTCTCAACATATATTCATGTTATGTATTGAATTTCGGTTAAAGAAAATTATTGAATAAATGGCACTGTAAGATATTTACCCAATAATTCACATGGCGTTATAATTTGGATTTTAGTGTATACTTGGACGAAATGTTCGCCGACCAGCTGTTGTTGACCAGAACGCTGCAAAAGAACTGAAGAATATAGCAGATAGTTTGACGTTGAAAAGTGATGTTTTCATTGGTACCACAATGACAGCAAATGATTTTTATGAAGGTAAGTATTTAGAAAGTAAACTTCCATTTTACTGACTAAACCAGTCAAAGAAATCACACCTCTAGGTTGAAATTCTATAAAAATGTAGTGATAAAAACATTATGGTCATGTTATTCAAACTGGTAACCCTAACGATTCACCAGAATTTAAATATACCTAGTCTTGAGTACACCTTCTTACGAATAAGAACTTTCAAATAAAAGGATTATTAAACTAAATGAATTGTAAACCTTTGTGTAAACAGTAAACCTCGTCAAACAGAGCCTTATAAAATGCAACAAGAATATTCCTATTCTTGCTACACCTCTTTAAGAGCCTAAATCCTTAATGCATTTCATAGTGTTGTATTCATTCATTATTATTACAGTATTGAGAGATTTGGTAACCACTGATTAGTAATTTCAAATGTACGGTAATGCGTCAGTTAATAGATTTTATTGGATAGTCAAACGATTTACTTACAGAAGAATTTCCTTTAACGTGTCAAATCAAATGCACGGATTGAGGAGATTTTTGTTTTGAGCTGTAATCATATGAGGAATCATCGATAACTAGGAAGGAGTGATTGGACCTTTCACGAGGGTGCACTTCTCAGAATCATACACGATAGAATTGAAAGTCTTTCGTCTTTCTAGTGGAAATATTATCATTTAGCTATTGAGTACAAATTTCAGACTTCACGTTTCGTCCATGAGCAGTAGTAATAGTGATACTGATTTTAAACTCAGTAATGAGTGGAAATAATAACGATATTTGAAAGTTTCTAATGATCACGGTAAACTGTGAAGTGAACCATTTTTAATATCAACAGGTCAACTATTAGATCCAAATTCAATCTAATAGATTATCGAGAGTGTTTCATTAATGAATGATCTCCGATTAGGGTCAACACAACTTTGTAGTGCTGCGTGTTTATTGAAGGTTATGCAATCGTTGTCAGTATGTGAGGGGAAAGCTAACTCTACAATAGCTAATTATATAAAATTCATTTAGTTGAATGTTACACTGGTTTCGGGTTACAAATGTATAATGTAGAAAAAAGTTGGTAGACTTTGTTTTTAGTATGACACTTTTTAAGACTGACTAAGACCCTTCTGGACTCATAAAATTCTATCTGGAAGAAAAAAATTGTGTAGAAATGTGATATTTTTCTTGTGAAATTTTTCAGAAGGTATAACCTTCACCCTGAATAAAGTAAATATTTGCATTGTATAAACAAAACAAATATCAAGGTATTTAGTTATACGTTTGTCTCAGTGATATTGCAGTGCATATTTTTGTATACATATGTCTGAGATTTTTATTCAGAAACTCATTCTACTGAATTATTTTTGTATATATGAAAGATGTCTGTAGCAAAAACACTGTATTTCAGTTTGGAATGAATATAATCTACTTCACTATTCAACAAATAAACTCATAAAACTGTACATAATATAGTGTTGTAGAATGTTAACCCTTTCCGTTATATTAAGTTTAAGACTCTGTGTGATATTTATTTGGAGCAAAGGTTGGCACAGTAGAGTTTGAATACATGATCCAAGAGTGACAGCTTGTAAGTAGTTATGCTGACCTTCTTACTAAAAGTTTTTCTATATCTGCTCTGTAATTCAGGTTCAAGATGAATACATTATTGGGAACATAAAAGCGTCAGGTGCTACAATGTATTAAATTGCAACTGTAAAGTTGCGATTATCGTCATTTCTTTTCTATTTTATGCAATATGAAACATATTAGTTGTGTTCCTAGGTTTAGAAAATATAGGGATTGATCAGTGGTCCTTGGTGAATTCATGTTTCTTCTAGAAAAAAATGACCTTATGACCTTGAGAATGCCAGTTTTAATCTCTTCCAATCAACGCTACTTTATCACTGATATACTGATTGAATAAACTTTCATATCAGTTGACAATCGAGTTCTTGTATTTCAATTTTGCTGTAGAAATGCAGTGGTTTGAAGCTGCCATCTAAAAATTAAACATACTTTTAAGCAATATTATCCGCTAAGTACTTTGAAGTTAAAAAGTCAGTTTTATCTCCTGAATGGAGACATATAAGCGCATGTTTTTGATTAAGCTTCGACTGTCTCATTTGATTATCTACAACCAGCGGAATATTTTGGCGTAAGTATTTTGAATAAGTTTTTAATTTGGCGGTGATCTAAATGTAAGGTAAGCATGGGTTTTCTATTGATTGTTGACAGACGACTTATGCTAACGATGCAACGAAGGTTCATAGGTAATGACAAAAATGAAAATTATTTGATGTTCCCTGAGATTTAATATTTGGTTGTGGATAACTGATAGCCAGACTTGGCTCATTCATAACCACAAAACTCATAAATTCATAAAGACAGATTGTATGAATGTTTATTCAGTATTAGTTTATAACTTAAAGGAACATAAAATTGTTAGTTGAGAAGTGATTCGTGTATTCGCTACGCAAGCTTGACAGAAAACTTCAGCAAGCTGTCGAGTTCCTTCACTGTCGCTGGGTCCTTGCTCAACTTTAGACTACGAACCATACTCAGTGAGTCATACAGAATAGGTAATTTGGTGAAGAAAATTTTCTTTTTCTACGATGTCAATATTTGCGTTTATTATCTACCAACAATTTTCACCTTGTCAAACTGTTTGCCTTCCTCGTTATTTCTGCTGTCTCAGATTATTACGTAACTACTTTGCATTCTTGATTCCGGTTTTTTAGCACTAGGTTAATGATGCAATCATACCCTATTGTCTTATAATAGACTGTTATATGTTTATGGTATATATATAAAATACGATTGTACAGCTATAGAAAATGATACCGTCGAAGAAGAAAATTTTCTTCGCTGAATTATCTCTTCTCTATGACTCAGTGGGCATGTTTCGTAGTCTAAAGTTGAGCAAGGACCCAGTGACAGTGAAGGAACTCGGTGAGTTTCGGAAGGTTTCTGTCAAGTTGAGGAGTTCTAGTCTTGTGTTAACCTGCTTGGCCTTAAGTTTTATTAGGTCATGCTGAGAAATTTGGTTTGTAATTTAAAGATCCCTATAGATTATTCAGAACAAGAATAATTTGAGTGATCAGTTGTTTTCAATAACTTTTTTTCAGGCTCTACAGTTATAAATCCATGAGAATAAGTGTAGTACAATAGACTAAATAAGGCATGATGTACAATTTTTACGATGTTAAAACAGTCACTGTTATGGGTAAATGGAGATCAAATCGAATGGAATGGTGAAATTGTTATCGATCTAGTGTGTTAGTTCTGCAATGAAATCAATATTGATAGAACAATTACGAAATAAGGAGACAAAATCTGCGTATAATGATTCATTTTATGCATTTATAATTAAGGGCATGAATGTGTGTGTTTGTTTACTAAGGGTCAATTGATAATAATTATGTTGTGATGATTTAGTGATGGGATGAAAATCATGTGAATACAATGACGAAATGGAGTATAGCAAATGTGAAGTATTACGTCAAGGTTAAAAATGACTGCTGGTGGTGGTATGAATAAATAACATAAGAAAATGAGTATTTATCAATGGAATGATAATATAGAAGGAGGAGATGGGCGGTAAAAACGCACACTTTGTGGTATGAAAGTTCATAAAGAATGTGTGAACTTTATTGAGGGCCAAGGTAGATAAAGTGAATGTACATATTTCTTTCGAACACATAGGTCCGGTTTTCTTGCGTTGATGCCTTTGGCTTCGGCTACGGATAATATTCTAAGTCGTGCACCTTTTGGGAGATTGAAAGGGATACTGTACATCATAGAAAAGTCGTGATCTACCTTAATCTAGTGTCCGGTATCTACTAGATATGAAAGTATTGCACTGTTGATGCTTTTTGTCGTTCCTTTCCCCAACCAAGATAGGACGTGTTCACGAACGCGCTTGGACAGAGCCCTTCGAGTACGGCCTATGTAACTAGCTTCACGGGAGCAGTTGAACCCATAAATACACATTGAAGTGGTCATCATAGGTAACCTATCCTTGATTTGCTGTGTCAGAAATGGTTTGGTTGAGAAGCTGACAAAAGGTTTCGCTGCAGTGAACGTCCTTTCGACTGATGCTTTTAATCGATTTGTTAAGATATCCGAGGCGATATCACCATTGAAACTTAGTAGAAGATATATAGCTTCTGAGCAACATTGTCTCTCTTTATCTTGTCTCTAGGTTTTGATATGTGTTTATTTATGAAGTTTAGAGGATAACCACTTTGCAGCAATGTTAACTGCAGCTTATTCTTTTATCCTCCATTCAGTCATTGTAACAAATGTTTCTTATTCTGTAACTCAGATATTTGACCAGATTTCTTTTACATTGAATGGGTGTAGAACTATGAAAGTGAATATATTAACCAGTCCATGTGTTCTTTCGAAAAATATTCCTTTTAATATACCCATCCGTTTTTCTGGTGAGGAAGACATCTAGAAAAGGAATACTATTCCCTTGTTCTTGCTCACAAATTTGGTAATGAAATTATGCTGGAATATTCGTTTGGTCCCATAGCTTTCTGTACGTAGTGATTCTTTTTTCTTATTCAGTATTTTGCTGTTTTCGTCTTATTTACACATTAAAGTGAGGATGGGTAGCTTGAACTGATGATAAGCTTTTGTTTTGGATTATACCTGATTTTTTACTGAGGCTGTATTTTTGTGAGTATACTGTACTCATTTCATGTTATTATTTCTGCTGGTTGCTTTTTGTCTGGATGCCTTGCTATTAGGAGGTTTCTATGTGTTATCAAGTCTACAAGCTGCAGGAACATAGTATTGTTATAATAAAAGTAGGGATTTCAGCTGTTTCTTTTAAGACTGATAAAGATATATATCATTTTGTTGTTAGACCATAATTTTTTAATTCCTCCGGTAACCTGATTGCTGGATTAGTTAACATAATGTTGTAAACAGTCTTGGCAGTTGGTTTGTTAAATGTTTTAATCTGTTCCTCTATTTACAAGGGATCTGTTTCTTTGTACAGAAAGTTGTGAATTCATTCAATGGCTTTGCACTACACTCTATTTACTAATGGTGTGGAAAGGAATGGTTAGATGAATTCACTGGAATCTTGATTATCCAATAAAATTAACTGAGCCTATCAGACATCAGGCATAGTTTTATGAAAGAAGTAAATTTCTTAACCTGACCCAATACAATTTAGAGTCAAAGAAATAAAAATGTGAGGAAAGCTTCTGAAATTCAGTTTTCAGGTTTGTGGGGGTTCAGTTTTTGATTTGAGGTTGGCACACAAAATGAACTGATACCATTTGGAGAAACATTGGAAACCTAAGAACCCTGGATGGCTTTTTCATCCTAGTATGAGAAGACCATTTGGGGACGTCACACGCCACGCCAGACTCTCTAGTGGTACCCGAGGGGGAAACGATGAATTAAGAGTTAGAGGGTGACGTGAAGGAGATCGAGTGAGGAAGAAGTGAAGGCTTGTGGGCAGTCGTAGAACCAGGTTGAAAAGACTGTAGAGAACAGAGTGAAATGGTGACGTGCTACTTAAGCCCTGTGTTCCACTAGGAACCTAAAAGACAAATAATAATAAAATATTAATGAGGTCCTTGGCCTTGCCAGGGATCGGACCGAAGGTCTTAAAGTTCCGTGGCCAGCGTAGCCGACCAAGTTGGATATGAAAATAGTTACTCGAAGACTGCATTTGATGGAAGTCGTACTATATCGTAAACTGACAGAAGCATGAAATGTGGAACATTTAATTCTAGCCTAGTGGTTCAATTGTAATGTGCTGGTGGCGAGACCTGAAGATCCTGCGTTCGATAACTTCTCAAACTACCATTTAATGGTCCCTTAGGTCAACTTCAGTACTTAACAAATCTTCTTATCATCTGTGAACGCTTCTCAGTTCCTAGGGAATTTGGTACTGATGGATTCGCTACGTTTGATGGCACAGCATTCACAATCAAACAACAGACCTCAGATCACCAAACGACTTTCTTCTTTGAAAAAATAGTAGGAAAACAAATATTTATTGTGACACTAAGAAGCTGGAACGAAGGTTGATTTTATTTTTATTATTGCAATTGTTATGTACTTGTCTTCTTTTACAGAACAGGCTAGATTGGATGGGGCAATCTGTTCTTTTACTGCAAAAGAAAAATTCACTTACCTCAAATCAGCTTATGACCATGGAATAAGGAATATAGAAATGGAAGGAATTGGAGTTACCGCTCACTGCAACCATGTTGGTTATCGAGGTAATGATGAGTAAAGATTATCTGTTTTACTATTCTGATTCATTTTTTATTTGAGTTATCACAATCAAGTCTGTGTAAAGTTGTAGACTTGGATCTGTCACCTTATGACTCTTTTCAGCAAAGTATACCTTGACAGATATTATAATGGCCTCACTCTTGACAGCTAATGATGCACTGGATTAGATCACCAAACTGAGTACTTGAATCACTGTGATTCAGTTCCGACCAGCCAACTGTATGTATAAATTCACTGATAGTATTTTATGAAATAGGCAGTCACAAATATCCAGGAAATGTAATTGGTTAAGCGTATTGTAAGCTATTACATATATGACTGAGGTCAGTAAGTAGCTTATTGGTGGCATCATATATCTCAGTGAAATCAAGGGCTGTCGAAATACGGTACTACTTATTGTTCTTTTCAGTTATTGATTGGTCTGGAGAAAGTCACTCGTCCGCTGATGTTAATGAGCTACTGGATTAATGCCTTATATGGCCGGTGAATAATTTTTGGTTTTAAGGATGTATGATGCTCAGCAGTAGAGTATAGTACACTAAAGAGTTTCAAGTTACAAAAATTCCACCTCCTGTATGCCACTACTGGATACTTATTAATTCTCAGCACAGTTAAACCACTTCGATATCATTTGGGATACTAATTAGGACACTACTTGTAACTTTATTATATTTTCAACACTTCGTTAAGCAGTTATGTTAGCAGATGTTTCGATAGGGAAATAAGTCGATGATTACACTGGTCAAATGGTAACCATTTCCGTAAAACTGCCTAATCAAATTTTGTTGCGTGTATATTATGGTATAACAGCAAACATCATGGTCTTAGCAATTTGAAGTGTGGCTGAAAAAAATTAATAGGAACGTAGCCTCTTTGATTAATGTCCGTGGTTAAAGCAAGATCTTTGTTCAGATATTTCTACCAACTATCAGAAAACTTGTCAAGTAGTAAGTACAGTTTAAGACTACTCGGATCAGGTAGAACAATTCAGTTCTAAATTGACAGTAACACACTTATGTGTTAAACATATTCCTCAGTTGTCTAATGTTTTATTCTGCGTGGATTTTTAACAGCTTCAAATACTTGACGCTTATATGCTTTATACTTGGTTTTGAAGAAGTTCTGGTGAAGAAAAAGACAGTTTATAAATGTCTATCAAGAAATACATTGTGAATTTACCATGAATCCCGTGTAGAACATTTTTAAAAGTGATTCCATTAGCAGATGATTTGTTGGGAAATCTTAGTGTCTTGAAATTTAGCAATGAAGTGGAAGCTTATTTGTACTTACGTGTGACGTTAGTTGATAGATGAAGAAAATCAACTGTAACTCAAGCTGGGAATGGTCTAATCAAAATCCTCCACACAAGTAAAATCAGCGTGGAACCTTGTACACGAGTGTGTCGATTCAAACTGTTACACTTCAAAGTAGTATACAAAGAAGAAGTGGAAAGAGAAAGAGTGATATGAAATTAGACAAAGTTGTTTAGGTAAAGAAAAAATATAAAGATAATAGTTAGTGCTAATATTTACGGCGGACCCTTGAGTAATATTCTTGAGTGAAACCAGATAATTGGTTGAATATACTTTAACACTAGAACCATTTATCCTGTAGAATTTACTGTAGAGTTGATTATAAACCCTTCATTTGATTTAACTGACATTAATAAACTTATTCTCGTACACAGATTGATAATTTGAGAGCACACAATCTCATGTTGCATAGTCCTGAGTGTTGACCGAATTCCACCAGTCATTTTTTAGTGTGACGAACAAGCTAGGAGGTTTGTCATCGTGGTGCACTTTAATAGATGGCGGTCAGTTGCAGCCGAAATAGCTCAGTGGTAATGTCGTTAACTACAGTACTGGGTGACTTGTGTCCGATATCATTTCTGTCCATGTTGTAGACTCACCATGTTGATGAGTGACAGCAATCACGAAACCTTGGTGAGAAGCTTCCTGCCGACTGCGTTCAATCAACTAATACCCTTTTTTTTTATCTGAAATGCAATTAGTTTGGATTAGATCTTAAGTTGGTCTAAATATTATATGGTGCCATTTGTTGGTCTGTACGATTTAAGGAAGTCAAACCTTCGTGTTTCGTTTCTTTTGGTTGACTGAAGTGGATGGTTGCAGACTTGGGGTATAGATGCAGGTATAGGACAGATCATAGTGAAGAGTTTTCCTATGTATTGTCTTTGGATTTCTATTGAAAGTAGCCTTCATAACTACCACTTTTCCTGTTTACCTCTTCGTTTCTTCTTTTCTATGAGTGGTACTACCATTGTTCTCACTTTCTTGTCTTTCAAGTCGCTAACTCCTTTCTCTGATTTGTTTATGTGAATCCTAAAGAATCCTAATAACGTATGTCGCTTCCTATGGCATTCATTTTCCTATCCATATGTTTCTGTATACAAACTAATCATACATCAGTATTGGTGTGCAGTGCGAGTGCAATAGATTCTTAAATTTCAAAGATTATTTGTAAGAGTAGAAGATCAAGAAGTTTAATTGTGTGATCATTTAGCTAAGTGCGTGATTTGTGGTACATTCACCATCCGAATACAGCTAGATTTTAGGGGATACTTTCCATTTGATCAGGTAAGCCTTAGACCAATTTGACCGAATACATGTTGATATCTTGACTGAAAAAAAACTCAAAACATTACTGATTGTTCTATGAAGCTTGAAAAGATCCACCGTTTATTTTTATTTCATCCCTATCTGAAATGATTCGTTATTCGTATTGGTTACAGCCTACTATGTTTTGAGATGTAGTTAACAGAGTAATTCAAAATCTTTATAATTTTAGTCGAACATATCATTCAGCAAATCTTTCAACGGAAAATTCACTTTAAAAATGTAGTAAATATTTGTTGGTTTGCTTGAGGATTATTAGTTTTATGACGTAGTTCGTACTATCTTTTCATAAATTTTACTATAATGGTGTGATTTACGTTTGTTGAACATAGTATAAGATAATAATGATGCGAAAACTCAGCTTTCTACCATCTGATAATATCTTTAGCAGTACCAAATATCTACTACACTGATTTCGGTTGGTTTCTTAGACACTTCATACTTTTCATCTGATGTAATATTGTCTTCTGTTAACTCATTAGAAACTTAGTTGAAAATCAGTGAACATTAAATGTATTTGTTTGAATAATTAGTCAACGTTTGATAAATGAGAGAGAAGAATAGAGAAGGCAGATTAGCTTACGCTTTGATGTTTATCTTCGCATTTATCTCAATTTTTTGACGATATGGTGTGATCAGCTATCCTGAGTTTACAGCTAGAATACTTAGCAATATTACCACTGATGACAATAATGAATACAATAAGGTAATGAAGTTTACCAGAAGAAGACAAATAGATGTAGCGTTAAGGATAGAATCGCATCACTTCAAGTTGCCACCTTTCTAGAAAGCACAGGAATAAGTGGCGAAGAGAAGAAAAATTACACGAAGTATGACGAAAGATAATGTACACATGAAGCGGAAGAAAATGTACAAAACTTTTTCAGGAGTGAATGAACCTGATCAGCTATGCACAACACTCAACCTCATATCCAACAGTTTCTAGCTATTAGTTTTTTATATCTAAAGAAATTCAGCTCTCATTTCCCCACATGGCATCAACCAGTCAAGAAGAACTTTCTAGTATTTTGCCATGCCATTGTCTGGTCATGCTTAAATTTTCCTCAACCTTATGTTACTCCGGCTAACACACTATCTAAAGGTAAATTTTATATATATATATATATATATATATATATATATATATATATATATATATATACTAATGTGTAGATGTGCCTAAGTCACTTCAGTGTGCAAGAGTTAAAAAATTTGTTGATTAGCTAAATTTCTTTATCAGTTATAGTAAACTGCGTTACAGTTCGCACGTTATGTGTATTTGTATACATTACTGGTTCTTTAAATCTCTTAGCTGACGAAATCTCAGCTCGAATGCAGAAAGCTCATTGACCGACTGTAATCTTGGATCATTTGAGGCTTCGTCAGGCTAGATATTCGACTATCTACCAAAGGACGAGTGTGCTGTTCTGTAGTCCGTCGTGTCTTGCTGTACTACTGTGGGGCATGGCCGCTAAAAGTAGAAGTGATGTGGTTGAAAGGAGTTGACCATAGTTCTGTTGACTACACTGGTAGAGTTTGGTGGAATCATCGTGTGAGCAATGTTAAGGTCAGGGAACGGGTACTAGGCGAATCCGTCAAGCCAACTGATGAGGCTGTGAAACTTCATCCAATCAGATGGCTTGGAGATGTGTTGCGCATTCCGACCCACTGCCTGCCTATATGTACTAAGCAAAGAGGAGTTGGACTAGGTTGGGAGAGAGCTCAGGGTGGCCAGACCAATTCCATATTAGATTGTTTATTAGATACAGCGGATAGCATAATTTACTGGATGACGTTTTAAACGGAATTTATTGCTCAAACAATCTAATATTGAGTTGTATTCCACCGCACTGCCCCAGTATTTCTCATACAATAACGAGTGGATGAAGAAGCAGCACCAGTTGATGAAGTTTCGCACTCTTGGTCTGAGTCATTTGGAGAAATGTTGGCTGCCTAGTTGTGGTCTCTGAGACGAAAGGAATCAGTGGTTGAAGACATAGCTGAAAATAGGTCGCGGCAGCACAGATGTATTCACTCATCAACATCTTCTGAAGCTTGAATATTTCCACTGTCTGTTATCTTCAAATTCTTTGTTCTCGTACACAACTTTGTCTACTTTGATATCACTCCATTTCTAGCCACCTGTTGTTTGTGTATTACTGTGAATTATGACAACTTGAGTTGTTGCACCTATGTACGACGTTCTACATTAATTTCTTCACTATCAGTTAGTAAGATTAGCTGTAGTGATAATGTTGGTAGGCAAAGGAAACAATTAACGAGAAGTGAAAAAAGGCTATAAGAGTAGAAGTATGTCAACTTGATTGCAAAGTCCCCTGAAGAATCTAAACATTAGCAAAGCATGAGGTCTAAATAAGATAACTGAGCAAAAAGGATCATTTTGATTTCATTCAACTGATCAAGGCTTTTTTGACTTGCCTTTCAATTTCGTTTCGTTACTTTTCATTTCAGCTGTTTTAGTATGTGTTACACTTGTAAATCGTTTGGAAATCGATCAAGTTACACTGTCTCCAGAAGAATATGAATATATGCAAGAATTACCAGGTTTATTAGTTGGTGAATATTTAAAGAAAAATGATGGTATTATCATTCGTACCTTACCAAACAAAACTGCTCCAAGTGTAACCAAACAGAAACCACGTGTTGATCTAATTTTCTTGAACAAATCATCTTGACTTAGATTTTTCTTTTTTGTTTGCTTTCAAATTGAATTCTTAGTTTCATATTGTTTTTTTCTTCTATCAGGGATACATTGAGTTTTTTCATCCGATTTTCTTTTCTGATGTTTATCGATTTTTATATGATGTTCTGATTTTTACACAAGGATTTTGTATGATTTTAGAAAAAATCTTAGTTGTAACTACAGTGATACTGATGAGTTTCTAATCACTTTTATGTTTATGTATACATTCCTTAGTTAATAAAAAATAATAAGGCTTTAGTATTTCAATGTAGAAAACCTTTTCAGTCATTTGAATGAGAAATGTGTCAATTGGTTAACAATTCAAGGTTATTTTATTTAGAATTTGAATGAATAACAAACTGGCCTAGGCAATATGAGATATATTCAGTAGTCAGCACGTGCAACATAATTACGTTTTATTTGAACTTACTATACTCAAGCTAATACTGCAGTCTGAGGTAAACCATTGGCTAACTTGCCAAACATACACCTTAATCGACTCAATCAGTTAAGACTTACAACCTCACCAACTGACTTCTCTCTGATGTCGGTTACTACGTGTTAAACCGTATATCATTCACATAGTGGTTACATCATATATGAGGGGTGATAGGTAAGGAGTAGTTGTCGGCTACTGAGATCTTCGCATGTTTACATAGGTTATCTGAACAGTTATTAGGTTAATATGTTCTTTTTTAGTGAGAAGGAATGTAGCTATAGAAAGTAGAGACAATGTACCAAGTTATAAGTGGTTGTACATATAGTTATCAACAAAGTATCTTTAAACCGGTTTCAATGCAACTGGAATAAGTGGTTGAAACATGAAAGCATCTTCACATGCAAACTGTGGATCATACTTTTGATTACTTGGGGATTTGTGGTTGTCTAGGAATCCGTGATTGTGGAACATAATCACTCCTGATTACTGTGATGCAAGTTAGCATATGCATCTGATTATTCTAACAAATCAATAGTATGAATCGCCACTTATGTTATAGTGTGCAATAATACTGTCACGATCCCTAGACTGAAATTAAATCCCCTTAAACGCCGTCAGCACACCGAAGTTTCTTAAAAACACACACGATCATTAGTTTTCATATCAGACTGGTTAGTAAAGCATAATGAATGAAGAATGTCATTGTAAAAAGGCTTAGGAGTAACGAAGGTTTCTGTGAGCACATAAATGTCACAATATTCCAGTATATAGTCAACGTTAAAACTGGGATTCTGTTGTGTAACTGTCTGTTTTGTTTCTGAGGAATCGAGTTTCCACCATACATGGGACCTGAAGGTTATGCCCGAGCATTGGCAAGCATGTCTTGTTATACCACTCTTGTTTTTATTTCCATTTTCCTGTGGGATATAAACTCAGCATACTTATCAGTGAAGCGAGAATTGCAGCATTAGTGAAGCTTTTTCGGGAAGATTTCTGAAGTAATAAGCAATTCAGCGGAGGATTTTTTTCCGTAGTTTCATTCTAAATGCCGATCACTGCAATTACATACAACTCACTTTCTTTAACATTCAAAATGCCCTTGGGCTGTAGCATAATTTTGTTCAGTGGATATGGTAACAAACAGCGTAATTTGTTAAGCGATAAAACAGTTAAGATTGGTAAAGGTATTCAATATTTATCAAAAATTGAAAAGGAAGTGAATTTTAATAATCATGATTGCATGACAAAATATTCACTGACTTATTGGATATCAAATAATTCTCAGAAACAGGCAATAACAGATGTTATGGAACAAGTGAACAGAATGAAACAGGGTATAGAATTTAAGGTGGAAGCTAAATACTGGCTGCATAAGTGAGGAGAAAATCCTGGTTGAACAAGTTTCCTTTGTACACATAATTCCAGCTTCTTCACGCATATTGCAGGAGTTTCTGAAGTACAGAGAAGGCAGGAGAGCAACAATTTTGGCAAATTTCTCTTCCGGCTGAAAACGGATATCCAGCATGATTTTTGGACGAAAGCATAAGACCGAAACCACAAAGAAAGGTACTCATCTAAGTTAAAAAAAAATATATTGTTTGGGAATCTTAGCCTTGAAGATATCTTGAAAAGAAGAATTTGAAACTAGGTAAATAAAACTTTCAACGTTAAAGATAATATTCTACATGCGTTCAATCTTTCATGGTGATCCGAAGGATGAACTTCCGCATCTAACCACTTCTGTGTATGTTTACGAATTTACCTGCTCCTGTCTAGCCAGGTATGTAGGTCATTCGATGCTCATTCTTTCCGAACGGGTTAGAGAACATTACCCGGCCTAGTTGCAAAGAGATGTGAGGGGATCCATCAGAAGTGGAATAATTGAACATTATGTCAACACAGGTCACAGCATCACTAATGATTCAGAATTGAATGCCATCTAGAGAATGAAGAAAAATTTGCCAGAAAAATAGTGCACTTTTACCTTCTTTGTACTGCAGAAGCTCTTACAGTATTCATGGAGAAACCGGAATTATATGTACAAAAAAGGATCTTTGTTGTAGATTCATACAACTTAGGAATGTCTTGGAATACACGAGGTCTGAAGGAAATAAAACTCAATTTAAATGTCTAAATCAGTTTAGTCGTTTTCAGTAGCTACCTTTGAAGTTTTTACAGTCACGCATGCATGAGTGTTATTTTACTATAGGCAGTGTAACGGACAAGTAATATTAAGGAGAACTTCTAATTTTATTGGTAAATGAAGTCGAAATAATAGAGTTTTAGTGTCGATGACTACCTAGATACATGCACGATGGAAGGTATGTCGAAACTTATTGCTGTGTAGTCTGAAGTTAACAGGCTCACCTGTATTCGTGGACACAATGACATGACTCTCAGAAAGTCTATTTCTCAAACTTCTTATGCTGAAACCATACCTCGTCTTTACCTGAATTTGTCGCCAGTGTGAACACACACTCGCGTACAATGTATAGCTGATCCTAAGTGAGAACAAAACTGTACACGTAAATGGAAGTGGTTGAAACAATGACTGTTGAGGTAAAATAACATCGAACAGAATTAATGAGCTGACATTTCTGGATGTAGGTGAATACTAATTTCAAGATCTTCTAACTAAAGTATATTGATCGGTGTAAAAAAACCTGTTTCATAGTCAGGAGAAATTCCTGCAGAATAGTTATCATCCGTGCGAATAAATCAGAGTATGTTGTTTGGCACTTGTAGTTTCCGTTGCTATACAGAGTCGAATTACTTGATGTCTGTTGACCTATGACGTTTAGCGTGATGCGTACTGAGCTTGGGTTTCAATGAGATCAACATCACTCGCTGGGGTGTAGGCACATCCAACTGATGGGTCCCAAACATGACAACAAGTACGTCTTGGATTCAACTACTAGTTGCGGAGATGAATACAGCATCATAAGTCAAAACATGTACATTCACGTTCATCCTATTACCTCAGAGGCGAATAATAACTAAGGTCTCACTGGTATAATCTTATCAGATTTAACCATAAAACCATGAAGGTTTAATATATTGTATTATATATTTGGAAGAATTACTCTGAGACAGTTCAGGTTTAATTGCATAAAAATAAAGTTCTTATTTAACACTGAAGTTCTTATGGTAGGTAAATGGATAGGAGAAGCTGTTCGCTAGGTGAACAGATAACCAGCACCAGGTATGGAATTTCGCTATTCCAACTTTATAACAATTGTCTCATTTAGAATAAGCAGTACGGCATTTCTGAGTTGTCTGCATAGTTTCACGCGGATACCAATTTAAAACTTTTTACCATGTACGCATATCTGTGGCAAACAAATCCTTACATTTGAGTTGGAAAACACTAGTCCCTAAAAATTTTGATCTAAAATTCGACAAGACTAAGAAGTAGGAACCAATGAAACAGTTTATTGCAGTATTATCTGATTTCCGCTTTGACTGCCTAAATGAAGTTGAATTCAGAGAGGAAGCTTTTGTTTGTTTTTGTTACTATAAGTATTTACAATGGTAAGAACTACTGTTAAATAAGCATACTTTTAAGACAAAGAAGAAATTTCATTGTACATTGAACCTTTACAAAAACGTTTTTGTTTTATGAGAGTGTATTCCAGTTTATGACCGCTGTTTCCATAGAAATATATTATAAGCTTTTATTCCTTGTTTAAAGAGCGGTTTGAAATGAATATGATGCTATTTATGAAGCAGATTTATGTATATATATACCCTCAAGATTCATTATTTAAAACGTGTAACATTTCACTAATATTCTGTACAAGAACTTCTGTAGGAAAATATTCCTAGGAAATACTTTCTCAGTGGGTACTTCCTTGAAAACCAGTCTTTTGTATACTGCCAAAATGTCAGTAAAAAGCGACAATATGAGAGCTGTGAAAACTGACACTGATAGTCATCTTGGTGAAGATGACGAGAGCATTACTGCTGAAAACGATTTGTTGCCTTTAACAGAAGACAGCTGTGAAGTAGAAATAAAAGAAGTTCTACAGAGTGTAATTGAAAAGTTGTTGGACAAATTCCCAGAGACAGAAATGAAAAGAAACAGTACTCAAACGATTTCGCCCATTGAAATTCATTCGAAGATGGATTTGAACAGAAAAGAATCTTCTAACATCGAAGAAAACGGCATAGATTTACTAAAATCTGGTGTGATGCAGCTACAAGAGAATTTAAAAAGATTAAATAATCAGTTAAGTTTGCATTCTATGCAACAAAATGAGTCTGAGATAAAGTTATCAGCATTAGAAATAAGAGTTGATAAACTTGAACAAAATATAGAACAACTTTCAAATCATAATCGTTCAAATATCTGCTTCCAGGACAAAATAACCATTGAGAAAAAGGATTCACTAGCAAGAAATTCAATTGGGACGTTTTCCGACAATTTAATAAAAACTGGTGAGTCAGTTTACTTTTAACTAGCTTATAAATATAGCTTATAAAGATATCTGATATCAACTGAATAGCTATTATGAGGCAAAGACAGAATAGAAACGCTTATCGTCTTGATTACAACTCTTTAGCAACTCTAATTTCGTCAGATTTCGCCGTAGAACTATTCTTTGAAGGATCAACAAGTCGCGTGAAATCAATGAGATTAAATAGTTGAAAATTTATAGTTCTCTTATGTTTTATGGAGTACAAAGCTTGCTTGATGTACTGAAGGCTATCAAGGTATATTTCCTAGTTATATTCAGTATATGATGAAACATATTCACTAAGGTGTTACATCAAGTACGCAGTATACTTAATTATCAAAGATAGTTAATAATTTTGGATCAAGTAATAGTGATTATGCTTGCCAAATAAAATGATGAATTCTATAACAACTATATCTATAAACTATTGAAGATTCCATGAAATACCATATGGTTAGGTGATTCAAAGTATTGTGAGAGCAAAAAAAAGCATAAATCGTACATTACTTGTTCATATGTTATGAAATAGGTTTTAGAATCATACGTAACCGCATGTTATATAAGAATGGAACAAGTAACACTAACTAACACTGCGTAGCACTCAGAGGGAAGTATTTAATAAAAATTGCCAACTTTAGCAGCGGTTTTTTGAAATTGTTATTCTGGCCGTCAGAGTCATTTAGGAGGATGATATCTATGGGACTACGCTTTGAGCTGAAATTATCAAAAGATTGTGGAATAAGATTACCATAATCTTAATTAGAAGCCATAAACCCCTAAAGAGTTTTTCAACCAATCGCTTCCTTCTGAAGTTTTTGCAACAGCATGTGAATCAACTTTTGAATATAGTACTAGTTGAAGAGACGAAAAATCAATAAGATGTTAAAATCTAGAAAGGACTGGGAATTGTCAAGGCTATTGTATATATATATATATATATATATATATATATATATATAGACCCTTGTCTTTTTGATGAAGTCTGTATGTTGCTATACGCTTTCTGTTGTCTTACCGCCTTTTCCACTTACTGAGAAAGTGGGCGATCATCAAGAGGTAGACTGTGAAGGTGGATATTCAAGCGTCTGCACCCATATATATATATATATATATATATATATATATATACCAAGCTATACTAAGCAGTAACCAAAAAATAGTAAGAGTGATTAAAAGAGGTATGAAGGTAAAATGAAACAGGATGAAACTAAAGTCATCGTAGAATAGAGAGATTGATTACATTCTCTGAATGGAATGGTCAGGTTGTAGGCACCTAACAGTAACTGATTTCGTGAATCGCAGAAGTTTAGTTGATTTTTATACATTTAGAATTTGAGACTTACTGGGAGTATCGATTCAGTGTTTTGTACCGACCAGGGGTGTGTCAGCTGACCTAATAAAAATTGCTAAACTCTGCGATAAATAATGTACATGTACATTACTTTTCGAAATTATTCATTATTTATTTGACAGGTCTTACTGAAGTTCTTTAGAAAAATTTCCGTTCCGTCATAAGTTTTGCCTAAAAAGTATATGCACATTGGGTTATTTAATTTGGGCGTAAAACTTGGGCACTGTGGTAAAACTTAACTCCATAAACGATTTGTTTATTTGATTTATGACACAGTGATCTAGTATTATTTACTTGATGACTTTTCGAGCATAAATTATTACTCATAATCATATCAATGCGATCACACTACTTTCGACATCTGATTTTTATAGTTATGCCACCACCTTATATGATTTGTTTTTATTGGTTGTAAAATTTTGCATATCTCTGGTATAGGTGTTGCGTGTTGATTCGATGAGAAAAGATTCAGTAATCAACCTCTCTCAATCTCTACTTCATTATGTTGAACTTAAGTGGCTTTATCCCACCCATCCTATTGTAGGGTGGTGTGTTAATGTATGCATTTCAATAGTCGAGTTTTTTCTAGATTCTTGATCTTATTCGGGTCTATCATTCTATATTTTTATCTGATTTCTTATGTTTGGTTATCCTAATCGACCCCGACCGCCTAGTTTGACCTATGTCTTGATCTCACAGTCATTACAGGGAATTTGATAGAGTGTATTATTTTGCCTAATTGGTTCTATCGGATTCTTAAACCAACTCAAAGATAAGGTTTATCGGTTCGTTATATTTGAGCAACGGTAACACTATTGATAGGAATTTTTCACTTCTAAGATAAAGACTGGTAATAGAGACAAGGTTAGATTTAATTTAAATTGTTTTGTTCTTTTCTGTTGGCTTCAAATCACTAAGTCGGTGGTGTTACTACCAAACCACGTTCCGATATCAATCCGATTAACACGTTTATTTGTAATGTGAAACTAAAATCTGAAAGAAAGAGCTCAGATGTCCATTATTTTAGTGTGATTTTTGGTGGAATACATCATCATTTCTCTGAAGCTTTAGGGAATTCATAATTTACTTCATTTTTCAGCAAAGATTTTGCTAGGGGCCTTTTAGCAAATTTTAGATATCTTCAGTTATAATTCATAGATAAAGTTAATAGACTGCAGCTGACTAACATAGATGGCTCGGAAAACGTCTGCATTAAAACTAGGGTAGACAATAAGAGAGAAATATGTGTACTTTTCGTTCAACATGTGGTTCTTTATACTGACATAAGTTCTTCAACGATAAACATAGACTTATTAAGTGAACTCAAAAAGCAGTACAAATAGCAATCAGTCCATTCGATCCACGTCAACCAACAACAGGGAAATAACAACATAAGATGTATAATTACTCATGTTGCTCAAAGAATACTTGATCTGATCGGTCTGTCTGGTGTGGTTGGTATGAAACAGTGGGTGCCTGTTTCGAAACTGAGTACCAATAGTAGTATGGACATAGGGACATCCAGTTTACGACTCTCAGATGGGCTGGCTGTTAACTATTTTGCATAATTACTAACAACGTGAAAAAATCTTCCTGAAATCTGTTTTATAAATTAATTTTATGAATATTTAAGTGTCAGATAGCCAGGTGGAAGGAAGAAGTCATTGGTATATTGGTTTTAAAGAAATTATCTATTATCTATTAGTAGTAATAATCACTTTATCTTAAACATTATGGTATTCTCAGCATGGAATTTCTCACCAAAGTCACTTCTAGAACAATATTTTGAGACAAAATGGTTATTGCATCTGAATAGTGTTAGGGATAACACTTTTCAAGGCAATAATGTGAAACAACTAGCTGGTTTTTGGATTAAAGTCCAGTCTATAATGAAGAATCAACAGAAATGTGAGCGTAATTACGCTTAACTTTGGTAGTTTAGGCTCATTCAACAAGTAAAAGAATCTGCAACTCAAGCTAAGTGTCTAAGGTATAGGAATACGATATACTTTTGCGTACAGAAAAATCCTCTTCCATGTAATAAAACATTTTTTCACTATTTTGTTAATAACTAGAGAAACGGCTAATTGAAAACATTTGAAAAATGTTCAACAGGATGTGATACATTTAGAGAACATTAAAATGATTAAAACAGACTTAAAGGAAAACATTTGATATTTATGTCTGGTGGAAAATTTTGGTAGCCCTAGGTTCAAGGCAGGTTCATGCAGAATTTTCATTGCTTACAGTGAATATCTTAATCCATACTCATTTAAAATTTTGTTATTCTTGTGTCGAATTTCGAGTGCACATCCTGTGAAATGTCAAGCACCCAAATATGTATTGCCCGAATCTAATATAAATCAACACATAAAAGAATTATTGTTTATAGAGTGTTCGTAATGTAAAGTAGTCACTCTTATTAGCATGACTGGTGAAAACCAAATTACTCAGATGTAAACAGTCGTTGAATCCTCTTTCCTTCAAACTTCTCCTTGCTTCAACTGATAGAATGAAGTAGTGATCTTAAGAACTTAATTGAATCGGTACAGACTATTCACTGCAACTGGAGTTTGTACGCCGTTTATTCGTCAATGGTTGGTATTGCTGTTTAAGGATAAATTTTCCAGTCTTTAATCAGTCAGAATTATGTTCCTTAATGGATACTTGTAACTTAAATGATGAAAGGGTACATAGAACACTGAAATTTCCTTCATTCAAGTTATTATCTGATAAAGAATGCAAAACAGTTTTATTAATCCCTTAAACTATACTATACTACTAACTAGACTGGTTTCCTCAAATATCGAATCTTACATTGAAATAACCGATAGCTTATCAGGTTTTACCACCCAATAGGTAACCAAATGCTGCGTTTTAGTGTTATCAGTCGGCTGGGCCATACGTCCATAACTATGTATTTGTGATATTTTCTTAAAAAGATTTTGCAACAATTACAAGTATTCAGTTTAATAATGTTTTTCCGTCTCATTTTTATGAAATGGTCAGCTATGAATAAGTGAATGGCAGTGACTTTTTAAGTGATACCTGAAGTGATTGAGATATTTACCCTGTTAGGTTGCATAATAATAGAATGAACTGCATTTTGATATATACGTGACTAGCAATGATAACTCACACCTGTCATCACTTTCTTCATTCTTCTTAACTTCACTATCATTTGTGAATTTTGTATTGATCACGTGTACAATTTAATTACAATGTGTAAGATGTAATACGTTGAAGAAAAACGTGCGTGACAGTTTTGAAAAAAAGTAGATAATCTAATCATTTAGTCAATCAAGTGAAAGGTCAACTTATTTTACAAGAACGCTTCTTGAAAACTATTCATTCACGACAGTAGCAGAAATGATGGGATTAATTTATTCCTACATATTCATATTGTATTTTATCACCAGTGTACTGACTGGTGATGATTTATAAAAGTAGTTACTGTGTCACAAGTGACTGATTATACCTAAATACGTACGTACTGATTGCAAAAAGCGATATAGTTGTAATTGAGACTATCTATTAAAATTCTAATTTGAAACAGAAGATTTAATTGAGCAACAAATGTCTTAACGATAACAAAATAGTCATAAATCCGAATTCTCGATCGTTAATGAAAACGGTTGCTGGTTAAAATGGAACGAAGATACAGTAGGCTGTCAAATTTCCTAAAACAGTTTGTAGAGCATTATGCTGATAATTTGGAGGCTACTGGTTCCATTTGATGATAGCTTAGTGAGTACTCTATACCTCATATTTTCAAGTGTTTCGCTCTAAGGTTCTCCGACTTTCAGTATTCACATTTATTTCCACCATATCTAACACAATTTCTTTTTAGAAAAAAGATCTGAAATTGAAAAATCCTTCAACAGTAAATTACGTTCAGGAATCAAAGACACAGCAAGAATTCTGTCACATGAAAATGATTATAATGATAGAACAGATGATGACGAGAAACAATGGTATATGCTCCAGCTGGAGGATATTAAACGCTTGCCACTTGATGAAATAATTCAACGCATCTTAAATTGAATCTCTTCAAGACGAATATGGAGTGTATTGAATTCAAAATAAGGGTATTTTACAGGTTATATTTCTGTAATTAAGAGATTTTTAAAGTTTCATTCACACTTTAACGTTTGTTTATGAATTCTTGTAAAGTACTATTTGTTGACAAAAGTCATAAACATTTTCCATTGATATTTCTGTTTTTATGCACATCATAAATAGAAAGGTTTCCGGTTGATCGTCCTTATAGAAAATTGATTCCTTTGAAAGTATTGAAGTCTAGAGAGTCAGTCAAACTGCAACCATTACATTTTAACTGGAGAAATTACAGAAGAACCGTCTCTTTTCATATCTGCTTGGAATGAACTAATCAAAACGTTACAAGCAAAGTAAAACAATTAACTAAGTTTAATGAAAATGTTTCAGCCTACATATTAGACGGTAACTTTGAAAAGTTTTAAGTTATTGAGGCTATCACAATAAACGTTTATTCAGTTATTAGCTGACAAGTTCAGATATCCACTTTACCATTAGATTCTGAGCAGGTGGTGACAATTCGTGTGTGTTTATATACTACTGACTTTTATCAGTAGTTCTAAACCATTCACGTCAATCAGTAATGCTTGTTATTCAGGTCACAGTTATCTAAACATGAGAGAGCGGTTTACCTAGATTGGCTTCCCTCAAACTGTCAAACTGTAAACACCTCAAGTATCCTCACATTGAGAGTTCATACAGGTTTTAAATTGATTGATAAAGTATACTGATGGCATATGTTTTTTCCTGAGACTTTAGTACACATAGACAATTCTCATAAGTTGTTAGCAGTCTTCATTTTTATTTAAAGATTTAGTAGATTTTTTCCAGAAAATCTATCGGTTTCCATCGTGAGGTGTTGCTCTCAGTGAGGCACTGAACAGAAGTATACATTGTTCGCCGTAAAGTTGTTTTAGTAGTTCATACGTTCGTAATAGGCACTAATGGAATATGCACATATCGTGAAAATTGTTTAGCATGGGATGAACGTTCACGAGACTGGGTTCATGGAGCTTTTGACTACCAGTAATATGAAGGATTTAACATGCATATGGGATAATATTTAAGGAAGCTAACTTTGATCAATGATATTTTTGAAGCAGAAAGTCATTTTCTTCTACTTCTTTCCATGAGAAATGAAAATATGTGAAAGGATTTCACAAACGTTTGTTAAAATTGTTGTGCTACTTATATTCAATAAGTAGGCAAACGAAATAAGTGCAATTTTTTAATTTCAGATTTTGTAGGGATTTAGTGGTATTTCAAGTTGGTATTCATCAGGGACTGATATCGGTTGGAGGAGCTTTAGAGACTTGGGAGCACTGTACAGCTGTTTATTCCTAGTGTTGGCTCTCCTCCGTATTGCGCACTCATGACCTTACCGTAGCCAGCACGTTGGATTCCTACCCAGGGACTCAGTGGTAACCTGCTAGACACGCAACCCGAAGGTCCTTGGCCCGATCCTTGATGGGGTCATGCGTGCGTGCTACCAAGGAGTACCACACAAGGAAGAAACTGCCGTACGGTGCTCCTAGGTTTTCAGTGTTCCTCCAGCTGATATCAGTTCATGATGAATACCAACTTGAAGAGAGATATTTCTACAAAAGTGCTTCAATTTCGTTTCACTTCAACCTGTAGGCTCACCAAGGATATTGTAAACCAATTAAAAATACTTTCAGCATCATGACTTGGTAGCGATATTACTATCAAATAATTTCAGTATTTGTTTGTTGTGTTTGAAAAGTGTAAATATGCTAAATTTACTCCTTACTTGAAGTATTCAAATCTTTGGTTTTTTGTCCAAAATATGTATTGCAGTAGCTTTAATTAGCTTAAATACTCGCTCTCCCGTCATTGGTTGATGTTCTCAAATCCGGTACAAATCTGTTTTATCTTGCAAGTTGATATCCCTCATTAACCTTTGTCGGAAGGACGCATTTAAATAATGAGAAATATTTGTTATTATTAACCTTAGTGTCACATAAAGTAGCCGAACCATGGTAATTGCCAAATTTAAGAAATTAACGCAGGGATTTTCTGATTCAGTTCACATAGAATGAGGGTATATTAGGTAGGTTCATGAATATGTTACTGCTGATGGCTGTGCTATCGACTTGTAAAGCCTTCTTTTTAGCCAACATACAGGGTCGCAAAATATGTTTTTCTAGATGTTGTATTATGAGTACCCAGTTATATTCCCCTGTCAGTAATTTTCACACTTCTTGTGCCTCAAAACCTACTTTTGACAGTTATATGACTTATAACGTGGGGCATTAGACTGTTCGGCTTTGCCTACAGATATGTTTTAGTTCCCGATTTTTGATGCTGCCGTTTATGTTATCTTTTCTTTGTCACTTATCAGGATATTTAGTTTAACTTGACACAAAAATGTATAATTCATATTAGACACTTCTATAAGGAATCTTTAAAGTAACCATAAAGTGGGAAATGATGACTGTTATGTTGCTTACTTCCCAAGATTAACTGAATTTCGTCTTTCAACTTCGCACTATGGCCATTCGAGCTTAGCTACTTGAAATTGGGGTAAGCTGTGGTTGATGCTGGATGGTTATAGAAGCTCAGTAGAAAAATGTGCTAATTTGTCTTTGTTATCTGCTGATAAGCCAAATTGAGGCGTATGTTTAATGTTGGCGAACATATCTTATGTGATCCAACTGGTATTACTCAGAGCATGAGTCTTCTTAACACTGTATAAACACTTCAAAAGATAAGTGTCAACCATCACAAAACTTTGGTATATTTACTTGCCGGATTTTAAATAACGCATATGAGCAGTGATAGCTAAACAATCTTGCTCAAGACAGAAAAACTAATTTTCTTGACTAATAGATTGTTTACTTTTAAGCGTAGTCCCTTCAAACGTAACTAGCATTAAATCTCTAACTAGAAACTAAATAAGTGGAAACACTTTTTAGTATGAGACATAAGTTAGTTGCCTCTTCAACAGAAACAGAAAAATTGCCTTTCATTAGTTCCTAATTTAATTGTAGATCAAATTACTTATGAAAACAGGTGAAGAGATTTTAGCGGCAGCTTAACCGTTCAATTAATTGTATTTACGCTTTCAGAAAAAACGACCTCATATGATGTAGGTCCGTGAAATCATCATAAGATTACATTGCTAAGAGTAAAATGAAATGTTAATTTATCACAATCAGTTAAAGGATGACGCTCGATGTAGCTATGAAGTTATTAGTGTGTTCCAAAGTCTGAAGATAAGGTTTAAGGTCCAATCACTGTGTTCAATAACAAAACATTCAGTTGTACTTGACTTTAACTTTTAGATGTTGAGAATCAGTTTACAGGAAGTTTCACCTTATTTAACTTTCCTAAAATTACCTGAGATAGTGTAACAGCTGTATGACCAGTTTACCCCACACCCACAGAACATTCAATAACAAAGAGTTGTAACCGAATACAGTCATTCAGTCATCCATCATGGATCAGTATCTGACAAACAGATGGAGATCCCGAAGTTCTAATGAGAAACCGTAACCTGTAGGGTCAACCAGTCGGAAAGGAAGCAGATGTAAACGGAAGACTTTGCGTGATAGTCACTCTATGGATAACGTGTTCGCCGTGAGACCTGGGTTTCATGCTTATCCAAGTTGTGGGTGCCTACTGCTAAGACGTCTCATGTAAAAACGAAACAGCTCTCAAGTTCCCCTAGCTTTTCAGTGGTTCTCTAACTGATGTCAGCCCGTGATGGATACTATCTTAGATAGATGAATTATCTGCTCACTGGTTTTTTCTTTATTAGTGATAAAAAGCCTGCTTAAACAGTTCAAAGTCTCACTGAGTAGTTTTTGAAAGATTATTCTTTTCGAAACAGTTCTTATTATGGAATGGGACAGTTATTTGCGTTTCATATATTGTTCAGGTATTAACATATGGACGAATCGTGTTCACATCAATAAGTAGTCAGTATAAGTGGTTTTCGAAATGCAGTAAAACTGCAGTTGGATTTCTTCTTGTTAACAGTTGTCTCCCCTAAGTTGTTTTATTTCGTGATCGAATCCCTGGATCCTCTTTTTAAGTTGTTTTACAGGGAGATATCTGAAAAGTAAGAATTTCCGTTTCTGTTCTACAATGGGATTTGATACCGCCTTTTGAATGAAAGTTTTTCCTCGAAACCTAACCCTGTCAGCAAAAACTGATACCTCAGAAGAACTGAAATAGAAATATGCATAGGTGTAACGGATATAATATACTCATCTCTATGCCACAAACGCGTGCGATAATATTACACGCAATTTACAATAAAATCAGAATAAGGAAATAAGTTTATTATAGCTAGATAAAAATTGTCTTCTGTTTCAAATACGCTCAACTTTTACACCTATGTAGTTAAATAATTTTATCCTCCTATTTCTTCTTCATACAGTTCCAATCAGCAGGCAGGAAGCCTTGGTTGACCTAGGTTTCGTGCCTGGCCGCGCTCATCGGTTAGGTGTATCTGCAACCACGAGGAAACTGGTGTTACAGAGTTGATCCGAACGCATGTGAATGAAAGATGAAGTCAGAGTTATTCAAACCATGAATACCCACCTATAGAACTGGATAACGTGAAGGTAATCCATTTAGCTTCGTAGTCTGAGTACCTAGCAGTGATCGGGGTTTATCGATCACGGTTTTCAGTATGGTCACAAGTGAAGTGACACAAAGGTATGTTTTAATGCTATAACCTGTTTTGGTTGGACCAAACTTTAGTGACGGCCAACCCCCTTCAAGTATACGCTGAACAGTCAGAATCATGCATAGGAAGGACAGTATTATTATTAGAGATGGCACTTTCATTATTTTGATATTGTATTTTCCAATGAATCTAAAACAAAACAGATTTGTTTTAACCAACGTTTTTCTGTTTAATGCTTATAGGCTTGTCAAAGTTATGGTAAACCGGAATTTAAAATATCCAAGCTCCTATATGACAACTTGACAAGTGTTCTACTGCATGAATGATCCTGCATCGTCAGAATTGTAGAGCAAATATGATATCCACATGTAGTGTATTGCGTATGAAGAGTGTATGAATTAAACATTGAGCTTTAAGTGTGCAAATTTGTTGATAGTTTTTACTGCAAGTATGATGGTTATGTCAGTATATGGGGGTCGGTTGAGACCAGGTCAAACTA